AAGATTAATTTTTATTGGAAAACTTGTCTGGTTACCTTTAATCACACAAAATTAATTTATATATTATTATAATAAAAAATAATAGGGTATTCACTATTCAGTTACTTCTTTCTTCGGTTTATGATGAATATGATATATAATTATACATGGTTATTATGAAGATATTTATCGTTTTGGAATTATAGGCTTACAGCAAGCAGGGATTTGCGTGAAAAATTCTATCACTGAGGATTTTTATTTTCTTTTTCTCTTTTCCCCCCACCAGTGATTACATTACATGTAAGCAATAGATATTCCATTACCATACTCCTTAATCATTAAATGCGCAGTTTCTTTCTCAAATTCACTATTTAATTATTATAATAATATTGTAGTCACTCTTTTCCTAGTTTTGTCACATTCTGCTCTCTTACTTTTTTGCACTTATTTCACACGTTGCTAAAACCATTATAGTTTTCTAAATTCGTGGTTAAGTAACAAGTAGCGTTACACTCATCTGATCTTAAAGTTTACTTCTTCTGTTTTAATAATTTTCTCTGTGTATAATGAGAAAACAATAATCATTCTGAACCAAAAACGATATTAACTTATTTATTTGTATGCAAGTCTCCTTAACTTATCCTTATTCCAGTTAAAAATAGATTGAATGATTAGCGTATGGAGTTGGGCAAAATTATAAGTACATTAATAATTATGTAGTGATGGGACCAAGATGGGGTAGTGATACAGCAGATTTGAATCACACTCTTGAAAGTGACTAGAAAATGAAGTTCCCGGGGTTTGGGGGAAAGGAAGAGGATGACTATGACAAGGACGGTTTTATTACAATGGATATGCAGTTTAGCTCGAAAGCTCCTAATTCTTGCAAACACTTAAGAGAGCAGAAAAGCAGATACTGTATTGGTGGCTTCTTAATTAAGTTATTTGTACAAATTAAGAACTTGAGCTTTAGATCCACAATGGATAAAATTTCCCAAAAAATATTTATAGAAACATAAAATAAATCAAATATCTTTCATAAGTTAACAGAAATTAAAATAAACTTTTGGGGAAATTAAATGAGTTCTTTTTAACATAAAAGTAGATATTATGGATGATAGTCCTATTGTGTTGATTAATTATTGATTTGTATTCTTAACTTTTCTTTTTACCAAGGTATTTGAAAATATGATCTTACACAAATTATCCAATTTTTTCACCACTATACCCAATTTTAGTAACTTTTTTCAATAATTTCAATCTATCATTTTTCAATATTAATTTCCATTAACTCTAACCTGATACGCTGTTTAGTTTATATATTCCACTTAATTCTGCAAGAAAAGTAAATACTAGCAGCTACACTGTTCCTGTTTCCTGAATTGCAAGCAAATTTAATATGCTGAAGAAAAAGGATAGAAAAAAAATATTCAATGAACGAAACCAAGTCACAAGAAGAATATCCGGTGTATTGCTAAAACAACAGGAAGAAAAGAAAACAGAAAACTATATTTAATGTACAATTACATCAGTGACAACTTTCTTAAATATAATTACCAATAGAAAATGTCAATAAGGTTAATTTGTTTGTATAGATCCTCAGACACTGACATGCCTATCATATTCTTCCTGAGGGAGAAACTATATATATTTAGAAAAGACACTCGAGTATTAATAAGGTGCTTAAACAAGCAATCCAATCCATTTTCAAGCCCTTCAATGACTACCACCACAGCCTCAAGCTCCTTATGTGCAGATTGAATATTCTCAGCCTCAAACTCCTTGGTTGTGTTATCCATCACCATTCTACAAAGTGCTAGGTCCACCTTTTCAATTTCATTTACATTCTCTTCATGATTGTTGCATTGAAGTAGCACCCCTTTCTTCATCACTCTTGACACAAATGTCCACTTATTACTAACCTTTGACCTTAAGATCGGTGAAGAGAGAAACCCCACTAGTGACTGAAAAATGGAGCTGGTGATCAAACTAGCTTCTCTTAGAACCCTCACAACTGAAGAGAGATGGTGGTTAAGATCCAAAGGAGGAGAGGCCCCTAATGATGATGGCCCTTCAGTGTGCTTCAACAAAACCAAAGATTTTGTGCATTGTTTCCTTGTGATTCTTCTTAGACTCAAATATGAAGACACGTGGCTTTCAATCACCAAGTCTCCAACCTTTCTCCTTCTGAGTGCTGATTGAAGGTCTCTAACACTTCCTTTCATTACCAAGAATGCATCCCTTGTTTCTCCCAGAATGTCCAAGAATCTTACAGGGAAATCTAGCAACTCATCAAAGCCATTTGTGGTTGTGGTGATGAGATAATGCTTGTTGAGTGAGTGGCAGTTTCAAAAGATCTTCTATGCATTTGTATAACTCTGCAAGACCTGAAAGACCAAAGAGAATTCTCTCCACCTCAGAGGAAGAAAATGCTTCCCATGTTTTGAGCTTGTTCAGCTCCTCCTCTATTGGAACTGTGCTTGGATGTAATCTTGTTGGCAAGCTTATGGAGCGAAAAGTAGAAGAAGCCATAGCTTCCTTTTTCATATCTCAGTAAAAAGGTTGGCGTGAGTGACGAGTGACTCTTGTTGTGGTTGCGGTTCAAACTCGTGTATGTAGAAAGTTTGAACTAAGAGGAAAAATTCACCTGTCTGCAAAACTTCTAAGAGAAATTAGTACCTGTGTTTTTGATGAGGATACTCTTTAGTAATGAAAAAAAATATATGTATATGAGTGAAAGGGTGCTAATATTATGTGCCAATGATGAGTGTTGTGTTGTTTAGTAATACCAAGGCATGTATGTATGTGTGTGGTTTTCCGATATTGTGGGTTTGTGATTATATATAATTGTGGTTTATGGATGTTGTTGTGAGGTCATGTCATGTGTTAAATGGAAACCCTATCTGCTATGTTACATAGGGAGTAAGGTGGACCTCCCAAATTGGCTCTGCTGTCTTTTTGATCTCACCGTCCCTCATGCTGCGTCACTCAACTTCCATACAAAATCATGCACCCCATGGCCCATGCACAGTAGTGGCATGTAGCAGCCTCTAGTTAGGGAGAAATTATTAAATAATATGAGATTATGCATGTTTATAGTTGCATCAATCTTTATATGATATATGAACCACGGTATCGGCTTAATCGGAGAAAATTTTTGGAGGCTAGATTGTTACTCTAAAAGTTTATACTATTAAAGATTTGTTAATTTTCTTGACTCAATCTTTATCGAAATGAGTCTAATAAATGTTGAAAATTTGCGTGTTACACAAATAAATTCTTATAAATAATTAAAAATAATGTGAATTCATATATCTTAGGCTTAATTGGTTTTATGATCATTAATGTTTAGGGATTTAGATTGATCTTGTAGGGATGGACATCAAGTACAATAAATGTACTATTACAAATGTTTATTCTTATAAATTTTTTGTTTAAGATATTTAATTTTTGGTATAAAAAATATTAAAAATTGTGTTGCTTAATAATATGTGTTAAAAATCTCATATCGTAGTAATAAGACTAAAATAATATATATAACCATCATTTTATAAATCAATTTTGTAGAATTAAATTAAACTTAAAACATATGTTCCAAGATAGTGCCCACACATCATATCTAATATATTTGAACACCTAAATATTTATATCATATATTATTTTTGATCCTAATTATAAGTAATAAATTAAAAATTTTCTTTAGTCTTAATTATAAGTAACAATAAATAGTTTTAAAAGTTACCTTGTAGTAATAAATTTATTTTATATCTTTAATTTATTATTAACTCTATTTCTTATGCATTCATTTATTCCTTATTTATTGGAATTTTCTTATTCATTGAATCATGAGTACTTATATTAAATATAGACATCACCAAAAGTAAAGAGTATTTTGAGAATATAATTTAAATTTATGATAGAATTAATTAAAAATAATTAATTTAATTATTTTTCTTAATGTAATAAAAATTATTCTATGTTACTTATAGCTAGATTTAGATGAGGTATTTATTTATACATCTTTACTTCTCTCCACAATTTTTTCCTCTTTTTATATAGTATATTGTGTGTCCATTTTTTTTCTTCAAGTTGATGGTTAACAATCATCATAAAAGCTATAATTGATGCAAATTCATTATTTGTCAATTACTTGTGTCTCCTTAAAGTGTCTTGAAAAATAAAGAAGGAGAAAGTAATCTTTTGAACAAAATTTAAGTACAGTTTCTTAAATATGTTATTCTCTTACTAGAATTAAAATTTTATTTCAATATTATACATTTTTGTATTTAATATAGATCTTATTAATATATATATATATAT